AAGGTCGTACTTTGGCTTTTCTGGACTTGTTCTAATTTTCTTCAGTTTCAACTTGAGCTTGTGTATGAGCAATTGTTGATCTGTTCCAGAGTTGGCCCTTGGATTCGTTCTGACTGATGATATTGAGCTTTTCCATCGTCTCTTTCCACAGATGTAGTTGATTTGATTCCTGTGTATTCCATCTGGTGAGGTCCATGTGTATAGCTGCCATTTATGTTGGTGAAAAAAGGTATTTGCAATGAAAAAGTCATTGGTCTTGCAAAATTCTATCATGTGATCTCCATGATCATTTCTATTTTTCATATTTTCCAACTAACAATTCTTCCTTTTTGTTTCCAACTTTTTCATTCCAATCACTAGTAGTTATCAGTGCATCCTGATTGCATGTTCTAACAATTTCAGACTGCAGAAGTAAGTTGGTAAAAATCTTGAATTTCTTCATCTTTGGCTTTAGCGGTAGGTGCGTAAATTTGAATAAAAGTCGTATTAACTGGTCTTCCTTGTAGGTGTATGGCTATTATCCTATCACTGGCAGTGTTGTACTTCAGGACAGATCTCGAAATGTTCTTTTTGAGGATGAATGCAACAGCATTCCTCTTCAAGTTGCCATTCATGGCATAGTAGACCATATGATTTTCAGATTCAAAATGCCTAGGATATTGATGTTTATGCGTTCCGTTTAATTTTTGACAATTTCTAATTTTCCTAGATTCGTACTCATATATTCCATGTTGTGATTTTTAATGGATGTTTGCAGCTGTGTCTTATTGTTTTGAGTCATGCTACCACCTGTAAAAACCTCACTGTTCTCCCTGCAATTTAAAACACTGCAGTATTTCGCCTGTATACTTGTGTGTCTCCTGGTTTTGTGAAACTCTTTATCCTTCAATAAAACTTCTTATTTTTTATTTCTAGCAGAGTGTAAGTCTGGTGTTTCATTACAACAAAGCTTCATTAAGCAACAGCACCCCATTTTCTCCTCTCTTCAGTACCTGGTAACTTGTAATCTACTTTCTGTCTTTATAAATTTGTCTACTCTAGATATTTCATATAAATAGATTCATAAAATTTATTTGTCTTTGTGTGTCTGGCTTATTTCACTTAACATAATGTTTTCAGGAATGAAGAACTTTTAGGGCAGGGGGCTTGTTTTATTTATGTACATCTCTCTGTTCTTAACAGTATGCCTTACTCATAGTTGGTGTGTGATGGGTATTTTACTAAAATCTCTCTCCCCAACAAAGTTGTTAGTGCTAAGAGGAGAGGAGTGTGTTTCTTTTTGCTCACCTTTTTTGTGCTGCAGTGTTGGCTGGGACCAGTAAATATTTTCGGAGGAATGTATTAATAATTTCCTAATGATTAGTTTGTGTCTTCCTTTAAGATTTTGTTGTCTCTGATAGCAGAATGTTAAGGGTAATTTTTTTACTCTAAGTCACCAAGGGAAGAGGTGAACAAGGGCACACATAACTCCATAGGATAATTCTAACTTAGCTTTGAATGTACCACCATACAATTCTACCACATTCATTTTTTATTTCTTGGTTATCTTTAGCACACAACACACAAGCCAGGTTTTGCATCGAAAGTAAACACCGTGAAGGATTACAGACAGTCTAGGAAGATTTTGGATTTGAACACCCCTATCATCAGTGTTTTGGAGGCTGGGTGGTGCAATATGTTTGCGATTGGCTGGTAACTTAAGGATTGACGGTTTGAACCCACCCAGTGGCTGTTTGGAAGAAAGTCCTGGTGAACTGTTTCCATAAAGATTACAGCCAAGAAAATCCTATGGAGCAGCTATTCTCTGTAAGACATGGGGTCACCATGAGTTGGGGCAGACTTGATGGCAGCTAACAACAACAACCATCAGTGTTTGAGGTTATGTACCAAGAATTTAAAACAAATCAAACTCCATAAATGAACTCATGCTAAATCAATCTGAAGCTACCATTTCTGTGTATTGGATCTTTGACTGGTTTCCTTTCAAAGTGAAATAAAAATTCATTGCCTGATTTTTAACTGGTGTCAGTACTTCCTACTGATAGACTTTGACAGGAGACTTGAAGTGTGAAGCCACATTTTGAATAATGAGAAGAGGAAATATGTATCTTGGTCATAGTTTCTGTAACTCCAAAAGTGATTAAAAAAAAAAAAGGAAATACCCTAAGTACCCAATTATAGAGGAATGTTGATCTCATGAAATGCTAAGTTGCAGTTAAAATTATGCCTGTGAAAACTATATAGTAATCAGAAAAATATTTATTATCTAATATTAAACATTAGATAATGTTTTTCTGATTAATGGGGCAGTTCTTCTCTATCGTATAGTGTCTCTATGAGTCAGAATCGACTTGATGGCAACAGGTTGTTTTTGAAAGGTATATATAAAAAGCAAATTATATTATGCAGTAATTATAACTAGCTAAAGTTATGTTTTACTGTGAGTTAGGATGATTAACCATACTGGTTTGCCTGGAACAATCCTAGCTTTGGCACTGAAAGTCCCATATCCCAGGAAATCCCTCAGACCCAGACAAACTGGAATGGTTGCTCACCCTACCTTGAGCAAGGATTATAAGAGCACAAGGAAAAATGAAAACAGGTCGACTTCCTAATAAGTGAGTAAATTGATATTTTAAAAAATTTATTTCCTTCACAGTTATAAGATTATTTTTACAAAAATAAAAACTGAGAGGAAAATAATAAAGACCAGAGAAGGTATCTTCTACTTTAGTGCAAAACATGTTTTCTATTGTCCAATGTTATTAAATTCTTGATTCTATATTACCAAAAAGAAGTTCTGGTGGTGCAATGGTTAAGGACTCGGCTGCTAACTGAAAGGTCGGTGGTTGGAAGCCATCAGCCACTCTGTGGGAGAAAAGACATGGTGATTTGCTCCCATAAAGAGTCCAGCCTACGAATTCCAATGGGGTAGTTCTACGCTGTCCTATAGTATCTGTATAAGTTGGAATCGATTTGAAAGCACACAGCAACAGCAATCTATTTAATACCAAAGGAATATTTAGGGAGAAGGTCATATCAAGGATTTTCATTCTTCTTTAACAGTAGACATTAAAGGTGTCTAATATTAAAAAAGAGTTATATGAGGTCAAAACCAATTATTAGAGATTATGAAAATGAATAAACTGTAATTCTTAAGGAAACCGTGGGTTTGGAGAGGGATCCTCCTTTATATTTCAGAAGTGGAGAAAATAAGGTAGAAATAAGATCTTGTCTTTTTTGAAAGTTTTCTGATTTTAATTTTTTTCTCCTTGAACTTGTCACTGTAACACTGTCCTCCCTCTCTTCAAGTTCAAGGCAGGGATGCCTGTCATGTATTTCAGTCATGTCCTGGAATGCTGAGAGGGAGGAATACATTATCAGTGACCTATTTTATGAAAATTTTTCTTGGGAATGTGTGTGTAAGAATACACTGACATGAACATTTGATGACCCGGCATCCCAGGTTGGGGTTATGCGAATATGCACTCAAGGCTATAGCAGCCTCCCATGGTCCCAAGGTACAAGAGTAAAGGCTGGAGGAACACTAATGTTGGAATCATTTGCTGCAGATAAGAACACAAATAAAGGTAGTTTCATTTGTTTAAAGCTAATTTTGAGGACTGTATATACACAGAGGAATGTTCTGCCTACTTATTTTTCTAGTTACAAGAACTGTCTTCCATTGGTGGTCTACACTGTATACTTGCCACAACCTGGCAGCACTCAACATGTAGCAAATGCTCAAATGTAGTTGATCGAGTATAGTGATATCTTCTTAGGTTATACATTCTTTCTAGGTAAGGTAAGTATCTCTTTGATATGAACAGGCATTGAGAACAGGATGGTTATTTCCTGAAACTTGGCATTTCAACTAATTATGTTATTTCCAAGCATGATCTTCTTTCTGAGAATGTCTACAGCATTTAGCATCTGCATTATATCATCTAACAGTTAATTACATATCAATGATGTAACTAGTTTTTCAAATGTTTGAAATGTCTAAGCCTTTTTATTCCCAAGGGGCAAAACATAACTTCTGATTCTGCTGCGTCTCTCTCAACACTGCTTAGTGCTGGTCAGAGAGTACGTTTAAGAGTACATAAGACCCGTTGACTTGGCTGTACTAGTTTGAGGCATGTGGGTAGACAGTTAAGTTATTTCAAGCATCACAGAATTTGAGTCAGAAAATCTGGTTATGAAACAAGGCCCTCACAATTACTAGCTGTGAGCATGGACAAGTTACCTTTACTTGATTACAAGTTAATTTACTTCTTTGAATCACTTGTAAAACCCACTGTCATCGAGTCAATTCCGACTCATAGTGACTTTATACGATGAGTAGGACTGCCCCATAGGGTTTCCAAGGGTGTAAATCTTTACAGAATCACACTGCCATATGTTTCTCCCACAGAGCAGGCTGGTGGGTTCGAACTGCTGACCTTTTGGTTAGCAGATGAGCACTTTAACCCCTGTGCCACTAACGCTCACTTGTAAAATAGGGACAGTGATTCTTTGTAGGCCTTGGAAGATTGAATGAAATTATTTGATAAAATACTTTCTGAACTGGAAACCATTCTATAAATATAGTGTTGATTTGTTATTTGCGTTTTGGGTACTCATAACATTTTTCTTTCATTCATTCTTTCTTCTCTGGTGTCAAGGCTAGAAGTAGGTAGGCAATGCAACCAAGAGCCTAGACTAGTAGTTAGGGAAAGTTATGACAGAGACATCTTCATGCTTAAGCTGTGCTGTTTGTAGACAGAATGGGTTGGGTATAAACCCCTTAAAACATCCTGTAATGGGGTGTGGAAACTGTAAGAATGAGTCACAGTATCAGCCCATGAAAATATAGATGAAATAGGTTTCATATTCCACCTGTTTATTTTTACATTCTTTAAAATAATGGTGCAAAAGGGACTCCACCAAAAACACAGATGTAGAAGGAATTGAAGATAGTTTAGGGATGGCAAGGAGATGGGAGAACACATTCTGCAGTACTTATTCTTCCTTTTTTTTTTTTTTTTAATGTAAGAAAGTTGCCCAAAACAAGAAAGAAGAAAACACAACTTGCTACAATTGCTACATTCTCTGAATGAGAGACAGAAGGGTGTGGCGGTCACTCCGTGCAAAGGCAAGAGAGAGAAATGTGAAGGATATACATGCATGGGGAGAAATACGTAAATGCATCTTCTTAGAAGCCATGAACACTAATGCTTAAAAAAAGGAAACAGAAAACAGAAAAATCCTTTAAGGGGCGCTGTCATTTTCTATTGGTGAGGATTCCTGATCTTGAGGAGGTTCTGGGAAGTTTATTTCTGCTTCTTCTTCTTCTTCTTCTTGGACTGGAATGATTTCAATTTCTTCTTCATTCTTTGATTGGGAAGATATTTCAGTTAGCTCAATCACGTGTTCTTTTATTTCAGTTGTCTGTTCTTGTTTTTCTTCAGCTGATAGGAGAACCACGTTCTAGAACACAAAATAAACAAATGTTTCTTGACCTTGTTATCATTGGCACATTCTCAACAATCTCTGTAAGTATTTATCAAGTATCTCCTAGTTTTTATGCTACTTATATTATTTCCCATCTGCCTCCAAATACAGAGATTGACTTCCCAGGTGCTCAAACACTTATCAAATCACCTACTTACCAAAACTCAACTCTGAATAAATCCTCAAGGCTAACAGGCATTTGCTACTCTGCTTGGAGGGGTCATGTGGTATTAGAGAAAGAATACTGCAATATCAGAGGAATTTAGATTCTAGTTCTGCTTTGCCTTTAGTGGATATAACCTAGGAAAAGTAATGTTATCTCTCTGATCTTGTTTTCCTCATCTGCAAAATGAAGGAGTTAGTGATAATTTCTAAACTCTATTCTAAATCTAACATTCTATGGTTCTGAAACAGTTGATCTGTCTCTGGGATATCCATATCTACCAGTTGTGGAGGCTTTTGAAGCAACTGTTTTGAAGAGGAATGGGGTGAAAAAGGAGGAAGAAGAAGGACATACTGAGAAATGAAGTTAAAGAATTAGCAGCCTTTAATCTTCAACTGCCCTGCTTTCAAACATTAAGTATGGAGTTATGAAATCAAGATGGAAACCTGAAGTCAATCCGAATAGAAGATTAGTAAGGTGCACATATTATGGAACTGCATCTTCTGTCTAATGTTTGGACTTATTTCAAATGTGAAGACCTTTTTGCTCATTATTGGTATTTTTTGCTTTCCAGAAATATGCCAAGACTATTTTTCATGAAGCTCCGCAGTCTCAAAGTCTCATTAAATTACATTCTCCATAAAAGATGCTTTATAGAAGTGATTTTTTCAGATGGAGGTTTCAGAGTGGCTACTACAGGCAGTCCCCGGTCACAGTTCCTAACTGTGTATTTAAGTTGAATTTATAGGTGAGTTGGAACAGGTGCATTTGGTTCTTCTTTAGCCTTACTTTGGTGCAAGAAAAGGCTCAAAGCCTTTTCAATGACTTAAAAGCTATACGTGCAGCAAATGAAGGTGATTGTGATGAAAAGTTTGTTGTGAGTAGGGGTTGGTTCAGTCTTTTCAAAGTGAGGGCAAATTTACATAACATTAAAGGGCAAGTACTAGTTGTCAGTAAGTCTGATGTTCGTAACCTGGGAACTGCCTGTGCTTACAGCTTTGGGTCTGGAGCACAGTCTTTTCCAGTCATTCTCAGCAATGCCAGCTGCCACAAGTTTCTGGAAGAAGGAGAAGATCAGCATCACTGCGAAAATGCCCTAAAGCACAACAGAAGAATGAGGGTGAAAATGTAATAAAGGTCCAAAGCACATAGCTGAGGCTTAGTAAATGACTTTTGAATAAAATTAAATGATTGAAGGGCCAATTCCTTAGGTGAATGATGGCTAGTTGTGAGAACTATTAGTAGAGTAGACCAAAAAAACAGTTGCTGTTATTTCTGACTCAAGATGACCCCATGTGTGTTAGAGTAGAACTATGCTTCATAGGGTTTTCAATGGCTGATTTTTCAGGAACAGAACACCTAGTCTTTCTTCCAGGTTGCCTCTGGGGGACTTGAACCTCCAAACTTTCAGTTAGCTGCTGAGAGTGTTAACCATTTGCACCACCCAGGGACAGAATCTTTGTAATCCTATCCCTTAGCACAACTCCTGGCACACAACAGATGGTTAATGGATGTTGCAGGGATAATCAGTTGAAGAATCAATTTTACATGGAAGAGAGTATATACTAAATCTCACTTAAATTATATCCAGCTTTAGATGCTGTGGTATCATGCCATGGAAACCTCTCTGCACTTGGGAGGTGCAGTTTTTTTCCCTTTAAACTCTGCATTAAAATCTCCTTGAGGCAAAAGAAATTTGTAACAACTTAGTTATTTCTTCCATCATGCATCCTACTTAATCAATAATAGTATTAAAACCGTTAAAAATAACAATAAACATTAATAACAAACACTTATGTAGCACTTCCTATGTACCACACACAGTTCTAGGTGCTTTGAATATATTAACTCATTTATTCCTCAAACCAACCCTGTAAGCACTGTTATCATCCTCCCATTTATAGTTGAGGAAATTGAGGCAGAGTGTAGTAAAACCTTGCCCAAGGCCACATTGTTAGTAAGTAGCAGATCCAGGTAGTCTGAATCTAGAGTTGATGGTCATAATAAAATGCCATATTTCTTCCCTGGAAAGAAATCCAGTTTCACACTTACCAGGAATACAGATCGTATGCCGTGACAGTATTGTGTAGCTAGAGAGCTTCCCTCAGAGTTCTTATCTGATTCACAGCTGTATATATTAACATATGGTTTGGTGCCTTTAATAAATTGCAGACTCTCCATTTTAAAAAAATGAGAGAGTGTAATATTAAATATGTCCATGATCAAAAGAATTATTCCAGAAATGGCAGCGAAGAGGCTCAGTGAGTTCATTATCATTTTCCCTTTGACCTAAAATGGTGACACAAAGATTAGTTTATTGGGTTTGATTTCCATTTGGAGAATGTAAGCTAGGAAGGAATTCCAGATGCTATTGACTGTTCTGTCTCACAGGGTACTACATCAAAATCATACTGTGGTTCTTCTCTCAAAACCTTGAGCTGGTTCTTTTATTCCTTAGTCTTCCCTTCTCATGTTATACCACCACCACCTATTCAGTTTATCAAGTCAAAATTCTAGGAGTGATCCTTCATTCTTATATCTTGTATGATTGCCACCATCCTACTAGGCATTCACTAAATGTTTGTTGAATAAATGAAGATAAATAGTGTCCAGGTTATTTTCTGTCCACATTAGAAGGTAGAAGGAAGAGAGGGAAGGAAGTTCTTCCACCATGCTGAAGTGGGATGATGTTGTGTGTATAGATAGAGAAGGAGCAGATAGAACCTTCTAGGTCTGTACCATCAAATGGAAACAAGCAACACCACCACCACCATCACCACCACCACCAAAACCTAACTCCCTCCTGAAATAGGTTGCAGTCAGCCTCAGTCAACCATCTTTCAGAATAAAATTATAGCTGATGTCTCTGGGGAGGACAGATAAGAGCATGGAGGTGTGAATGCCCTGCCTTGCAGGGCTGATAAAATGTTGAAACAGGAAATATATTTAAAAAGTACCGTAGTAATTTGTGATCTCTGATGTTTATTTTAGGACATATATGTTTCACCTCTGGCTGTATGACCTACAAATAGCAAGTCATATGTCCAGCTGTATTTGGAGAATAGAGTAATTTGGTCTTTATAAATAGTTTTTTCCCCCCAAAACTGAATTTGTCAGACCATCTGTAGAGAGGGGCCATCTCAGTCCAGTCAGTCCCTCACTTACTTTGAAAGTGACTCAACTTGATAATGGCTTAGAAGGTATAAGAGAGTGTTGAGGGAGAATTGTCTTCACATTGTACTTGGGAAGAAAATTGCTGGTGAGCTCCTGACTCAAAAGGGATAGAATCAGGGCTCTGTGTAGCAGCCTATTGCTGGGTGTAAGTGAGTCCCTAGGGTTATATGAACAAACCACACTGTGTAGCTCTTCACAGCCTCTGAAGCACTTTCACATATGTGATTCCATTTTATCATCAAGCCAATTTAACATGGCAGCCTCCATTTTGTAGGTGAAGACTCAGAGGTACAGAGAAGTCAACTGACCTACTCAAGGTTACGCCTAAACGTTAACTTAGAACTTGAATCAATTACAGCATTGATTAGATGATTTCCTTAAATGTTGGTCTGGGATAAATGACACAGTTTTCAAAAAGATCTGTTATTCTTACACAGCATTTAACATTCACAAGACTAAAGCATATTCATCAGAGATCTGTCTTTACTTCTGTTTCCATGGGCATAGTTCATGTGGATCCCATTTCCAAGCTTTTTAATGAATAAAATTACAACAGGATTGTGGAAGATCCTTTGCATTTTAGTGTTGAGCGAGAACTCAGTGCTACTGTGATCCCAAAGCTCCCCGTTTTCAACTGAGAAAGTAAATATTTCTCTGATGTGTGGGGAAGAAGGACATATGATTACTTGCCAAACTATTCCTGGGATTTTTCTCTGCTGCTACCAGAAGTGATCCAGAAATGATAAACTGCAAAAAAAGAAGGGGTCGATGGAGAAGTGGGTGGGGAGAGAAGGAGAGAGACAGAGAGGGAGATCACTATATAACATTGAGAACTGGTTGTAAAGAAGCCATCCAGACCTTTAGTCAGTCACTTTCACTAAACTATCCACCCATTCTTATTGGATCCATTCATTTTTCGGCAGTCATAATTCTCCTTTATTTAGGCTCAACTACGTTGAATCTGTCCCCTTTACTCAACCATCTGGGGGGCTGTGACTAGGAATACTATGAGACAACAAGGCAGAACCCACATTTTCATTTCAATTAATATTCACATTGTAAATTTGAAAGGTTTTTTTTTTTAATTCATGGAGTTGCTTTTTGGGGTTCACAATTATTTAAATGACTTTGATGCCAATGAAGAATCAGACAATACAGATGGAAATATTTGGCCTGAATGTCATAGGCACTTCATTAAAATGTTGGTTGCTACAGGAAGTAATGATTATTTTTTATCTTCCTTTTCTAATGTTTGAGCTGTTAAATGGAGGAATCTTTTGTTCTCTCTCTCCTTGTTTAGAAATTTTTACTCCCAGACCCAACTTCATAGTGACAACTATGAGAGGGTCACAGTGAAAGAACTATCACCACCCCATACCATACCAAGAGAGGGCTACAAGCTTGGAAAATATGTACACAAAACAGCCAAAAGGAGTGCTGCTTTGTTGATGAGCAAAAGGAGATTTGAGACAGGACTAATTTCACCAAGTGCTATAGTAAGTAACCAGAATTGTAGGGAAAAAGGAGCAGGTTAGAGGAACCAGAATGTTCCTGTTCCTTCTTCCTTTCAAAACCACCATGCCATACAGTCCAAAAGTCTAGCCTCTTGCCCCAAATTGACTTTGGAGAAGTCTTGCATTGAACAATCTTCCTTTCCTGTATAGATCTATGCAGGGTATCTTTCCCTGAATTCACATGAAGCATACCCCTGACTCTTAACCACAGGATGCATGCTCAGTGCAGTCAATCTCTCTTCCCACTGAATTATTTTAACCTGATACCCTATTTCCTACCCATATACTTTCCTCAACTCAGAAACAATCTGACATACGCCTGTGGGGCTTTTTGACATTTTCCATGCATCACTCCCCAAACGGTTGTTATTTTTTACTCACCATAGTGCCTCCCCAGAGAGGGTACCAGACGGTCACACAGATGGGTGCATAGATCCCTATGGGGATCATCAGGAGACCCCCCAGAGCAAAATGGAAGAGCCCATTCATGATCTGAACAGCCTGAGGAGAGAATAGAGACAGTGATGGATGAACTGAAATCATCATCAAGTTAGAAGGCAGGGTAAGGGTGGAAGTCCTGCCTATTGACTTGGGTTAGTGTAAAATGTCTGAAGGAAGCTATGAAGTGCTAAGATCTTTGTCTTGTTATTCAGACCAGTTTTTCCCATCACCTGGGACATTTCCAAAGAGGCAGACATCCCTGGGATGCTGGACCAAACTGGGATGGGTGACCCCTAAATACACAAGCCCTAATATCAATACCAATACCAAAAAGGGACATAGATCACGTTGAGGTGATCCAGGTAATCACTTTCATGGTACCCCCCAGATTTGGCCCACTGTGTCAGATATAGAAAATACCTCAGGTTGGATTAAATCTCTTCAAGTTAGGTTGAATTCTGTGTCTGGCCTACAGCATCAGCTTCAATAGGCCAGAGAATTCCTAGGATATGGAATGGAAGACAACTGACTTACCCCCAAAGCCTTAGACTCCCTCATGAAGAAGTGTTGTGCAGGGCCCACCACTGAAAGCATCCTCTGGGGATTTATTTTCTGAACAGGATACATGTCAATAGGGCCTTTCATAGGCTCTGCTGGTAAAGCTCTACTCAGTGAATTTCTGGGCGTCGTCATTTCACTCTCAGAACTTTAAAAAATAAAACAAATGATCAAATGAAGGGAGATACAACAAGACTTTTGGCCATCTTTGTTCTCATGTCATGCATCTGAATGCTTCTCTTTTATTCCGTCCATGGGTGTCAGTGAAGCATCCTCCTAGTGGCCTGGGATCCGAGGCAAGGCCTACTGCTGAGTTCTGAGAAAGGTTCTGGAGGAGGGAGCTCAGTCAAGGACATATGGTCACAGTATTCTTTGTAGAGAACACCATGCTTATATCCCATGTGTCCTGTTTGCCTCTCATCTGGAAGCTTTTCTTACGCTTTAATATTGAAAATGTATTTTGTATTGACTTTTCCTTATCCGTTTGTTTATCTGCCTTTGTCTAGTATAATGGGCCAGAGACATCATGACCAAGTATGGTGAGGATTGCCCATGGAATCAGGGGGAGCTAACTCTAGTCCTCCCTATGCCTCTATCACCACCTGTCTGTCAGTTTATCATTCTGTGGTGGCTTATATGTTACTTTGATGCTGGAAGCTATGCTACCAGGATTTCAAATACCGGCAGGGTCATCCATGGTGGACAGCTTTCAGTGGAGCTTCCAGACTAAGACAGACTAGGAAGAAAGAGGCCTGGCAAGCTACTTCCTAAAATTAGCCAATGAAAACCGTATGGATCATAACAGAATACTTTCTGATGTAGTGCTGGAAGATGCACCCTTTAAGTTGGAAGGCACTCAAAATATACAGTGGCTGCAACAATGGACTCAAGCATACTTATGGTCATGAAGATAGTGCAGGACCATGCAATGTGTGATTCTGTTGTACATGGGGTCACCATTAGTTGGAACTGATCCGAAGGCAGCTAACAACAACGACTCCGCCTCTAACTCTATGACCTTGAGCTTTCACTTCAAGAAAGCCTTGTAATGCTCTGTGTAGAACTATGGGTTTCTGAGTCAGACTGCCTAGGTTTAAATCATGACTCTTCTGTTGCTGTGAGGCTTTGGGCAAATTCTTTAAATTCTCTGGGCCTCAGATTCTTCAACTGTAAAATGGGAATAGTAATAATTCTTGTTTCATAGGCTGCTATAAGACTTAAGTGGTCTGATGGTCTGTGCATGACTGATGATTTTTTTATTCAGGTGTAGCTCAGATAAAGAGCCCTTGTGGTGCAGTGGTTAAGTGCTTGGCTACTATCCAAAAGGCTGGCGGTTCGAACCCACCAGCTGCTCTGTGCAAGAAAGATGTGGCAATTCGCTTCCATAAAGATTACATCCTTGGAAACCCTATGGGGCAGTTCTACTCTGTCCTACAGGGTCACTATGAGTTGGAATCGACTTGTTGGCAATGGGTCACTATGAGTCAGAATTGACCCACTTTTGCTTTTGGTTTGGTAGCTCAAATGCCACCTCTCAAGGGAAGCTTTCTCTGAACTCTCAATCTATAATGCACACTCCTAGCTTCTCTCTTTCTTTTGGGATTCATTTATTTATGTCAACTAAAACCAAACCAAACCCAGTGCTATCAATTCCAACTCATGGTGACCCCATGTGCTTCAGAGTAGAACTGTGCTCCATGGATTTTTTTTGACTGTAATCGTATGGAAGTAGATCATCAGGCCTTTCTTCTGAGGTGCCACTGGGTGGATTGGAACCACCAACATTTTTGTTAGTAGGTGAGAGTAAACTGTTTGCATTATCCATGTGAATTTTATTGGATCTTACCTGTGTCCTGGGACTCTCTCCCTGGAGACACATCTTTGGTCTTGTCTTTACTGAGGGTAAGTCACGTAAGGTGTCTTGGAGACGAAGACAGTCCGCCTAGCTTGCTTATCTCACCAAAGTCACACAGAGGTAGGTAATGACAGGGACGCTCTAAGACAGGTGGTTGTGAGTCTCCAGGTCTCACATTTGTACCCACTTTATAGTTTACAGGGAGCCTTGGTGGCGCAATGGTTAAGAGTTTGCCTGCTAAACAAAAGGTCGGCAGTTCGAATCCACCAGCTGCTCCTTGGAAACCCTGTGGGGCAGTTCTATTCTGTCCTGTAGGGTTGTTACAAGTTGTAATCCATTCAACAGCAAGGGGTTTTAGAATTTACAAAGAGATTTCACATCTGTCTTCTCATTCATGCCTCAGAGAGTAGACCGAGGATGAAACATTGCTCCTATTTTGTAGATGAGGAAACGGGCACAGCAAAGTTAAGTAACTTGTTTAAAGTGATATGACTATTACAGATTTAAAATGAGGACTCAGCTCTATCTAATTAGGGCTGCTCTGATGCTCTTTCGATGGTCTCACCAGACTGCTTTGTTCTCTGTGAGGAATAGGCACTCAGCCTTGTTTTTATGATCTCCCTTTTCCTTCAAATGTGCGTGCTATTTGGGTCATTATAAAACAATTGAAAACAGAGTATTTGTCTAGGACATGGGCTGGAGGGAGGGAGTAGGCTTTGACTGTGGGCTTCTCGCTTGATTTTGCCCCAGCCCTAGATTAGTGGCAGTCATGTGGTACTGGGGATTTGTTTTGTACCACAAACCACCCCACAAGACCACTAACAAAAAGGAATATGTTAATACAGCGCACTCAAGAGTTTACAAGCTGATTCTGGTCACCAGACAGAATTTTTAGAGCTAGTCAGACCTCAGAATCTATTCTGGTCATTTGACAAATAGGGAAACTGCAGCCCAGGGATGGGACATGTCTTGTTAAAGACTTCACACTTAGTGACAGAGCCATACCAACAGGCAGTCACCATGACTTTGAGGTTGATGCTATTCCTGCTGCACCACAGCCTAGAGTAGATAATTATGGTTGTTTATTGAGCACTTACTGCATGCCAGGAGTATGGTGTACGCACTTTCCAATTCTCTGAATGCCTTCCTTGCTAAGTGGGTATTTTGTCTCCATTTTGCAGACATGGAAATGGAGGTTCAGAGAGGATAATTCATTTCTCCAAGATCCCATGGCAAGTTATGGAATGAGCTTGGAGCCACCACACTCCTCTCCAGAGGGGTCATTTTTGTGAGGACAGCTTAAAGAGCCCAGGTCACCAATTGTTTGGACAGAAGGAGATATTTGGATTACCATTGTTTTCATTTCATCTTATTCATCAACAACTTGATTGAGGCTGTGTCTGTGTTCTTGTTGTATAAGCAAGATCAACTTGTCTGTACTGGGTGATGGCGGTAATGACCACTGAGGGAAAAATATTTTTTTCTCTTTGTTAAAATGGTGTTTCACTATGGCAATTGTATTTCTACAGAGCCTTCAACAAATATCACTGTGAAATATTAGTGTATAAACACAAATGTGACTGTTTCTATGTGTTATTTCATTTTTCATGTAAACATTCTCAGTTTTTTTTATAGTAGGGCATTGTAGACTGACTATATAATGAAAAAATGCCATTCCATGGCAGTATATGAAACTAGACCACATATATCTAAGAATACTGTAGATTCCTGAAGACTTACCTTTTTTTTTCAGTTGTTCACAATAACTTTAAATAATGCCTGACACACACTTAGCCTCAAAGACTAGTTGGCAGATTAATGCAGGTTACTGCCCACAATGATCAAAATATGATAATAGTATTTTTTTTTTTTTTGCTAAACTATATTAAAATTGGAAACCCTGGTGGCATAGTGGTTTAGTGCTATGGCTGCTAACCAAAAGGTCGGCAGTTGGAATCCACCAGGCGCTCCTTGGAAACTGTTGGGCAGTTCTATTCTGTCCTATAGGGTCGCTATGGATCGGAATTGACTTGACAGCGACGGGTTTTTTTTCTTTTTTTTTTTTGGTTCTATTAAAATTAGAACTCCATTTATTATGCGCTGTTCCATCTTATTACTTGAAGCAACTTCTGCAATTTTTTTTTTTTAAAGGCACCATTGTTTCGGTGTTCACTCACTGAAGATCTTACAGCCTTTATGGGTGGTGGTTGGAATAACGACTTTGGGTCTGATAATTCCACTATTTACTGAGAAGTTCAAAGCTGCCTCACTTTCATTACCTTAACTTCTTCCTTTACCACTCAGGATAGCTTTTTATTTTTATTCTTCCTGGTCTTCTTTGCACTTATCTCTGAGGAGGACCATTCTTATTTTTCTTCTGCTTGTTCTCCTCAGCCTATCTCCTCCCACCATAACATCTTCCTTGCATCTTCAGCCTCTCACTCAGTTTGTTGTGTTAGGTAGCAGAAAGAGCTGCTCCCAACTTTGTTGCTTTCTACACTTGTGATCTGACTATAAAACCAGAAAAAAAGTCAGCAGCCATCACTCATGGCGACCCCATGTGTTTTAGGGTAGAATTGCTCTATAGAGTTTTTATGGCTCTGATCTTTCAGAAGTAGATTGTCAGGTATTTCTTCTGAGGGGGGTTCCGATCACCAGCCTTTTATTTAGTAGCCCAACGTTTAACCATTTTCGGCATCCAAGATCTTCCTATAAATATACTATTTGCCTTATCCGTTTCATAGTATTGTGTTTTGAGAATATGAGATAATTTGCAATTTACAAAATACTAAACACTCAAAGAATAATTGATATTACCGGATCCTTTATGACTAACGTGCTGTGGGGTCTCCCAATCTCAAAGCCCCGTTCCTTTAATCTAGCAATGTCCTCAGCCAGTGCCCAATCTCCCTTCTCTTTTAACCCCACCTTAAAAGCTTAGCGTTCCACTCTTCGTCCACTTCCTCACCACCCGCTCATTCCTCCACGCTTTGCACCCGGTTTCTGCCAGAGCCACTCAGCTGAAACTTCTGGTCCTCTTTAAGGACTGTGATGCAAAATCAATGACCTCAGCTTGCTTTATTTCTATTTTCCCTGACACCCAGGCTTAAAAGGTTAAAGACTCATTTCCCTCCAGCTCTTTCATCTCCCATGTTCAACTCAGCACCAAGTCATGCCATCTCTCCCTCTGCAACATCTCTCGCATGTGGACGTTTTTTCTACTTCCAGCGTCACACCATGAGTTTCGTTTTCATTTCCTCTCTTGGTCTAGCACAAAAATCTTATTTTTCTGCCTTCTATCTCTCTCTTCTCATTCATCCTGGCCAAGGCTACTAGATCAAACTCCCTAAATCAGTGCTGTCATCATGCTGTCCCTGAGCTTAAACTCTTCCCTGACCTTCCGTCGCCTCCACGAGAAGCCCTTCCTTTACCTGGTCCCTCAGTTTGGCCTTACATAACTTTCTGAGCTCTCTGCCACTACTCCCCCGTCACTGCTCCGGACGTTCCTCCTGCTTTCTTCGCTGTATGCCTCTGAACTTGGAAATCCTCCTCCCGCCATCCCCATCACTTTCAGTGACACTCGCAGTTATATACACTCACATCACCCAAGACTTCATGAAGCTGCTCCAGCTCTCCTCACCTGATTGTGAGGATTTCTCTTCTGAGCTCATAGTTCTTTGTAGTCCTTGTCACCAGCTGTTTTCTTTCTACTGTTATATGATAACTTCTCTAATGGAGTATAAATTGCTTATAGAAACCTCTTCCCTGTAGTACATACTTAATAAGCATTAGCTCAATGACCATTAAATTGGACATTAAATTAGACTACTTCCTCAGGGCATGTTTGCAAATGCACAGGATGCCAGGTGAAGTGTTTATTTCATTTTACCCGACAATCAATGAGATCAAGCCATTTTATGGGAAGCAGGGAAGGAGAATCACATAATATGCTGCCTTTAGGAAACAATGGAGCCCTGGTGGCACAGTGGTTAAGAGCCGGGGTGCTAACCCAAAAGTTAGCAGTTCGAATCTACCAGCTGCTCCTTGGAAACCCTATAGGGCAGTTCTAGTCAGTCCTATAGGTTGCTATGAGTCAGAATTGACTTGAGGGCAATGACTATTTGATTTTAGGAAACAGTTGTGGCCATGGTTAACATTCATCAAGGAGCCCTGGTGGAGCAGTGGTTAAGCACTCAGCTGTTAGCCAAAAGGCCAGTGGTTCCAACCCACTAGCCACACTGCGGGAGAAAGATATGGCAGTCTGCTTCTGTAAAGATTACAGGCTTGGAAAACTTATCGGGCAGTTCTACTCTGTCCTAAATGAGTCAGAATCTACTCAATGGCAATGGGTTCGGTTTGGTTTTGGGTTTTAACATTCTTCTTATTTCCTTCTTTAGAGCTTCCCGTAGTCTCCACTGCCCGCTCTGTACGCTCCTCATGTGATTGGTTTTTGGCAGGATTTTGTGCTCAGATTGGCGTCCACCAACCCCATCCAGAAAATGTTAGCTTGTAACACTTAACGCCTAGCAGGTATTTGCAGTCAGTGGGCTACTGTTGGAGACAGAAGCCTTTACAGCAAAAGGAATGGAGTTCTTTTCATTATAGCCATGACCGGTGACTTTCTTATTTGGTACCGAGCAATTCTAAGAGCAGCAGGATTTTAGCTCATTTGATCTTCGTAAGTATTATCATCGCCCCCATTTTATAGATGAAGAAACTGAGGCACATAGAGATATTATAATTTTCCCAAAATTATGTGGCTTGTGAGTGGTGGAGCTGAGGTTTGAACATAGCAGGTTAGAAACCATGTTTTAGTCTTCATGCTGTAATGTACTACTATCCTGGAGTGACTCGTAGTTGGTCGCCCAGGGTGATTCTTGAGGGCGAGAGTGGTTAATGGAGTAGGTAGGCGGCGAGCCTTGAGATCACCACTCAAATCATGAAGCCAGCAGAAATTCTTACCAGGGAGACCCTAGGATTAAAGTGAGAATTTCCAGGCTCCAAAACCAAACCATGTCTCGTCTATCACCCCCTCTTAGATATTTAAATAAAGCAAATTGGTTCCTTACCTTGTCTCCAAGCCCTCAGGATTCAAGAGCTGCTTTAGATAGCGTCTGCTAGTTCAGTTTGATGCTGCCAGTTTTTCACAAATGTGGGGAGAGAGGGCAAGTGAGATAGGCCAGGCCTGGGGCTGGGATATCTGATAGATACCAGGTGACGGAAATCAGTAGCTTCTGCCTGCCACCTTGGGCTTTGCCCCAATTACTTTGGTTTAACACACCCTTATCAGTGCCGAAGGAAGTACAAAAAAGTTTCTGCCTTACCAGGGGGTTTCACTTCTTGAAAAAGACCCCAGGGGACTGCCTGGTGAACTTCATGCTACCTTAAGTGGAAGAACTTTGCAGCCCCCACCCTGTAAGCAGGTGTGGATGGTGGGTCCCCAAGGACAAGAAAGACTCCAGAAATTCTCCAAAGATGGGTTGGTAGGACTGACATTTACCTTTTTACTTCACTTTTGAGGGTAAGTGATGAGGAGGCATCCATGCAGATAGAGTCAAGCATCATTGAGTCATACACTTGGGAGTGTTGAATGTAGTGGTCTACAAATATTTATTTCATTAAAGACTCAGGGCTATAGTTAGGTAATTATTTGCCTGGCTAATCTAAAGGGCTGAGATATGGTGGTTCTATTTTAACATTAAAACTAACTGCCATTGAGTTGATTCCAGTTCATGGCGACCCCATGTGTTTTCAGAGTAGAACTGTACTCCATAGGGTTTTCAATGGCTATGATCTTTCAGAGAAGCCCTGGTGGCACAGTGGTTAAGCACTTGGCTGCTAACTGAAAGGCTGGCTGTTCGAACGCACCAACCACGTTGTGGGAGAAAGATGTGGCAGTCTGCTTCTGTAAAGATGGCCTTGGAGACCCTCTGGGGCAGTTCTATTCTGTCCTATAGAGTCGCTATGAGTCTGAATCTACTTGATGTCAGTGAGTTTGGTTGGGTATAATCTTTCAGAAGTAGATTGCCAGGGCTTTCTTCCTAGTCTGTCTTAGTCTGGAAGCTCCTCTGAAAGCTGTTCAGTATCATAGCAATACATAAGCCCCTACTGACAGACGGTAGCTGTGCATGAGATTCATTGGCCAGGAATTGAACGTGGGTCTTCCACTGACCTACGTTTTAGGATATCTGTGAAATTAAATGAGTAACACATAAAACATTTAGCACAGTGCCTGGAACATAGTATAATAGTGGCTCCACAATTGCTAACCTTCATTATTTTTACTATTCTAGTTGTTATAATAAGTGACTCTTGACATTGATGATCTTTCAGCATTGATATAAAATTTGTGGGCCAAGCCACTCTGCCAACCAGCTCCTCTTTCCACACGTCAGTGTAGTAGGAACCACTGGGTGCAGCCACTTGGAGAAATCAGCAGGAGCTATCACGAGAATTCGATGACTTGCCACCCAGACCGTGGGCTTTGGTTCCTTTCTCTGTACAGAGGCAACACCCACATTGCAGTTCATTAGTTGAATGAATGCACGACTAACAGAGGAGGTGGCACCAATATGACCACGTGAATTAAGGAGAGGAGGAGATGGCATTGTAATGAGGCAGGGTGGGTTTTATCAGCCAAAATGTTGCCAATCCTCCTTCCACCTTTTTGAATCACTCCCTTTTGCTGCAAAGAGTTCTCAGCCTTAAGATTCTATGCTCCTTTTGGCTTTTCTTCACGAGCACAATTCATCTCTAATGATGTTATAACACATCTTTATTTTCACAGCGCTATTCAACACCATTCCTCATAATCGCAACAAGCTTATTGGCCCCAGAAGATTGAGAAAGACAGAGCAATGAAAAACTCAATAATGGTGAAGATCATCAACATAATCAAAATTCCCTGTAACAGAAGAAGAAGAAAAATGAAGAAGAGACATGGTGTTAGCACAGTACTGGTTTTTCTGATTACAGTGAGGTAACAATATCCAGGTTAGAGGAAAAATTCCCCGGCATCACGCTAGAGCTTGTACAGCTACATGGGGCCCAGAAAAAAAAGAGGACCATGCAGAAAAAGAGACATAAAAGAAGCATAGGCCGACAGTAGCATATTGTGCTCTCATCACTGCAAAAGGTCTCTAAAAATGTTTTGTATTTTGGTGACCAAGAGTACATATTAGGATACATACCTTCTTATTAGCCCAGAGGTTGGACGTATTAGTGCTATGTCAATTAAGATTTAGAAGCTTCTGAGAGCTGTATTTTACATTAAAGTTACAAGGATTAATATGGTTGTCATTCTGTTCTATAAACATGCTTGTCTATCATGTTTCAACTATAGGTTGAAAAACTAATTTTAGAGCCACATGGGTTTTAATGGTCACACAATATTTAATGCTGTAGTTTGCCATAATTTATTCACTTATTATACAGTGACAGGAACTTATTTCTATTATTTCTTCTTCTCCTCCTTCACCCTCTTTCTTTTTCCTTTTTTCTCTTTTTCCTCCTCCTTCTCCTCCCTTCCCCTTCCTTTTTTCTTTCATTTCCTTCCCTTTCTTACCACTCTGAATAATGCTGCAATAAGCATTTTGGTGCACATACTTTTATAAATCCGTGGTTTAACTGCAGTGAAGCTAGATACCTGGGCTAAAACTTCCGTATATCTTTCATATAAATAGACCTTGTCCCTTTGATTTCCAAAGTGGTAGTAACCTTTCACATTTCTATTCTATCAGAACGATGATATGCAAGAGCATCCTTTTTACCATGTCGTTGCCAGAGGTAAGTGTTTTAATTTTTGCCCGGTCTAATGAATGTAAATGTTAGTCCATTGTTCATTTAACTGACATTTCTCTGACTACTAGTGAATTTGAGCATTGCTCTGTAAGTGTTTGGCTGTTAGATTTTATTTCTGTGTAAATTCATTCCTCTTATTCTTTGTCTATTTTTCTGTTATGTTCTTGACTCTTGTTAGGTATATGCACACTTTGAATATAAAATTGTGATTTCTTGTGGATTGACCCTTTGGTCATTATGAAAGGCCTCTTATTCTATGTCTGGTAATGCTTCCTACCATAAAGTCCACTTGTTTGTCATTAGAATATGTGTCTCTTGTAAACAGACTACAGTTTTCTTTTTAATTCACTCTGACAAACTTTGCCTTTTATTCAGAGTAGTTTACCTTTAATGTAATTACATATATATTTAAGTCTAAATCTTTCTTATTTGTTCCTTTATTTTATTATTTGTTTTTTCTTTTCTTTCAAAATTTTGAGTTACTAAACTGTTTTTATTACTCTAGTTTTAAATTTCAATAAGTTTGCTCATTATACATTTCAAACAATATGCTTTTAGTGGTGACTATGGATATTGCTGTGGATAATGGATATATGGATAGAAATGACACCGGAGATTGAATGATAGAATTTTTTAAGATCAATGACTTCTTCATTGCAAATACCTTTTTTCAACAACATAAATGGTGACTATACACATGGACCTTACTGGATAGAAAACACAGGAATCAAATCGACTACATCTGTGGAAAGAGATGATGGAAAAGCTTAATATCATCAGTCAGAACAAGGCCAGGGACTGACTGCAGAACAGACCATCAATTGCTCATATGCAAGTTCAAGTTGAAGCTGAAGAAAATTAAAACAAGTCCACAAGAGCCAAAATACAACCTTGAGTATACCTCACTTGAATTTGGAACCATCTCAAGAATAGATTTGATGCCAGACGAGTTGTAAGAAGACATCAAGGGCATCATACGTGAAGAAAGCAAAAGGTCATTAAAAAGACAAGAAAGAAAAGACCAAAATGGATGTCAGAAAAGACTCTGAAACTTGCTGTTGAACATAGAGTCGCTAAAGCGAATGGAAGAAATGATGATGTAAAAGAGCTGAACAGAAGATTTCAAAGGGCAGCCGGAGAAGGCAAACTAAAATATTATAATGAAATGTGAAAAAACCTGGAGTTAGAAAACTAAAAGGAAGGAGCATGCTTGGAATTTCTTAAGCTGAAATAACTGAAGAAAAATTCAAGCTTTGAGTTGCAATATTGAAGGATTCTGTGGGCAAAATATTGAATGATTCAGGAAGCACCAAAAGAAGATGGAAGGACTACACAGAGTAATGTACCAAAAAGAACCGGTCAACATTCAACAATTTTGGGAGATAGCATATGATCATGAACCAATGACACTGAAGGAAGAAGTCCAAGCTGCACTGAAGGCATTGGAGAAAAACAAGGCTCCAGGAATTGACAGAATACCAACTGAGATGTTTCAACAAATGGATGCAGTGCTGGAGGTGCTCACTCGTCTATGCCAAGAAATTTGGAAGACAGCTAGCTACCTGACCAACCAGCTGGAAAAGATCCATATTTGTGCCCATTCCGAAGACAGGTGATCCAATAGAATGTGAAAATTATTGAACAAGATCGATATCACACACAAGTAAAATTTTGCTGAAGATCATTCAAGAGTTGTTGCGGTAGTGCATCGACAAGGAATTGCCAAAAATTCAAGCCAGATTCAGAAGAAGATGTGGAACCACGGATATCATTGCTGATGTCAGATGGATCTTGGCTGAAGGTGGTGAAAACCAGAAAGATGTTTACCTGTGTTTTATTGACTATGCAAAGGGCTTTGCCTGTGTGGATCATAACAAATTATTGATAACATTGCGAAGAGTGGGAATTCCAGAACACTTAATTGTGCTCATGTAGAATCTGTTCATAGACCAGGAGGCAGTCGTTCAAAAAGAGCAAGAGGATACTGCAAGGTTTAAAATCAAGAAAGGTATGTGTCAGGGTTGTATCCTTTCACCATACTTATTCAATTTGTATGCTGAGCAAATAATTCAAGAAGGTGGACTATATGAAGAAGAGTGTGGCATCAGGATTGGTGGAAGACTCATTAACAACCTGTGATGTGCAGATGACACAATCCTGCTTGCTGAAAGTGGAGAGGACTTGAAGCACTTACTGATGAAGATCAAAGACCACAGCCTTCAGTGTGGATTGCATGTCAACATAAAGAAAACAAAAATCCTCACAACTGTACCAATAAGCAACGTCATGATAAATGAAGAAAATGTTGAAGTTGTCAAAGACTTCATTTTAATTGGATCCACAATAAACACCCAAGGAAACAGCAGTCAGGAAATTAAATGACATATTGCATTGGGCAAATCTGCTGCAAAAGACCTCTTTAAAGTATTGAAAAGCAAAGATATCACTTTGAGGACTAAGGTGTACCTAACCTAAGCCATGATATTTTCAGTCACCTCATATGCATGTGAAAGCTGGACAATGAATAAGGAAGACTGAAGAAGAATTGATGTCTTTGAATTATGGTGTTGGTGAAGAATATTGAATATACATACCATGGATTGCCAAAAGAACAAACAAGTCTGTTTTAGAAGAAATACAGTCAGAGTGCTCCTTGAAAGCGATGATGGTGAGACTTCGGCTCGCATAATTTGGACATGTTATCAGGAGGGACCAGTCCCTGGAGAAGGACATCATGCTTAGTAAAGTAAAGGGTCAACTGGAAAGAGGAAGACCCTCAGCGAGATGAATTGACACAGTGGCTGCAACAATGGGCTCAAACATAGCAACGAAAGTGAGGATGGCGCAGGACCTGGCAGTGTTTTGTTCTGTTGTGCATAGGGTTGCTATGAGCCGAACCAACTTGACGGCACCTAACAACAACAATCTTTACAGGAGGAGACTGTAACATCTTTCTCCTACAGGGCAGCTGGTGAATTTGAACCACCTACCTATCAGTTAGCAGCTGAGTGCTTAACCACTGTGTCACCAGGGCTACTTAACTTGCAATAGACACCACAATGTGATACTTGTACTCTTCCACAGACAAGGCTAACATATAAAAGATTACCTTAATTCTATTTATCCCTTTCTTGACTTCTGTGCCACTTTTGTCACTAATCTTACTGATACAAATAGTTTGAATCCCACAAGAAATTATTATTTGTTTAAAACATTCAATATGCTTTTAGGTTCACTCTCACATTTAGCATTTTCAATGCTCTTTATTCCTTCCAGTATTTTCTGTGTTTTCTTTTGGTATCATTTCTCTTCTGCCTAAAGAAATCCCTTTAGTATACTTTTTAGTGCAGGCTTGCCAATGCCATATTTTCCCAATGTCTCATCTGAAGGACATTTTACCAGGCATAGAATTCTAGGTGGACATTTTTGTGTTTCAGCAGTTTAAAAATGTCATTCCATTGTCTTCTGGATTCCATCAGTTCTCAACTGAAAGTCAGGTGGAAGTTTGTCCTTTGTTCCTTTGAGTGGGTTGTATTCCTCCCACTCATCCCTCCCACTGCTTTTTAGGTTTTTCTCTTTATCCTTTTGTTTTCTTCCCAGCAATTTCACTATGATGTGCTTATATGAGTTTTTTTTTTTTTTGCTGCTTGTGGTTCATAGAGCTATTTGAATCTGTCTGTATCTTATCTTTTATCAGTTCTAGAAAATTATCATCCAGCATTTTTTCAATTATTGCTTTTACTGCTTTTTTCTCTTAAAAGAGAAAAAGTTTTCTGGCTCTCCAGTTCATATGTCAGTCACATCTTTTTATTCTGCACCATATGTCCCTGATGTTATTTCTAGTGTTTGCAATCATTTTATTCTCTTCAGGCTTTAGTCTTGATATTTGATACTGACTCTCTTCCTTTCTACTTATCTTCTCCTTTGATGCTAATAATATGCTGATAACTCTATTGAGAGCTCATTTCAGTTATCATATTTTTCAGTTTTATAAGTTCTATTTGATTCTTTCTAATGGTTGTCTGTTCTCTGGTAATATTTTCCAGCTTGTCCCCTTCTTTCTGAATATAACAATCATAAAATAAAAAAGAAAAACCAAAACCAAAAAATCCCCAAAACCGAACCCGTTGCCGTTGAGTCGATTCTGACTCATAGCAACCCCATCGGACAGAGTAGAACTGCCCCATAGGGTTTCCAAGGAGTACCTGGCAAATTCAAACCGCCAACCTTTTAGTTATTAGCCATAGCTCTCAACCACTGCAGCGTCACGGCTCGTTATAACTACCCTAATTATCTCTGTCTGATAACACTACCACCTGGATCACTTCTGGGTAGTTTATTATCATTTTTTTGTTTGTTTTGTTTTTCAGACATTCAGCCCTATTTTCTGGTGTTACTAGTGTATATATATATATATATATATATATATTTTAACCAAATAATAAACATAATATATAAAAAGTGGTAGAAATTCTAAATTATTGTCTTTTTCTAAAAAAGATTTAATTTTCTTCCAGCAGGCAGCTAGATTAGGGGAAGGTTACCTAGATTCAATCATGGATTAAAATAATTCAGGGATTTCAGTGTTGTGGAGGCTGGTCTATTTCATGCTTGCCCTCAGTTCTAGGATGTATTCTTTCTTCACAAGTGAAATCCTGGGTGTTTACCAGACCCCCTCTTTATTGGTGAACTCTGACCAGCATTTTTATTTGTTTGTTTGTCTTCTCAGCACTTCTCTGCTTAGCTTTTTTGCCACTTCCTATTTCTGCTTGGCTTCCGAAATATTTACCCTGCTCCTCTTAGGAATCAGTAAATACCTCTAGGGGGAAAGTGATGGAGAATTTTGGGTTTACTTCAGTGTGTACATTTATTTACATGATCCTTCTACTTCAAATCTTGGCTACTATGTTATTTTTCATCTGTATTGATATTTTAACCAGATTTTAAAGTGGTTCTCAGTTGGAAAGTTGATCTGATATATACTGCTCTGTCATAACCAAAAGTGAAAAAAATTTGTAAATTTTATTGGCATTTTCAAAGAACCAACTGTTGACTATTTTGATTCCTTCTTATGTAGGCATATTTTCTACTTTATTTATTTCTGCTTAGTTTTATATATTATTTCCTTTATTTTCCTTTCTTTGTGTTAATTTACTCTGCTTTTCCCAATTCCCTGTGATTAATTCTTGGACCATTATTTTTCAAACTTTCATATTTTTTAATATCTACATTTCAAGGCTATAGATTGTCTTAAAAACATTGTTTTAGTTTTTTTAATACAATTTTTTGATCTTTTATTTCAAAACATCTTAAGATTTCCATTATGATTTCTTCTCTGACCCAATAATTACTTTGAAACATATTTCTCAGTATCCAACTATAAGAGGTTTTTTGAAATTATTTTTTATCATTGCTTTATGGTTTTATTACATAGAACATACACTGTATGACATCAGCCTTTGGCTTTAGTCTGTACTTTTTTAATTCCCAAAATATGGCTAATATTTGTAGTACATATTATAAAAATGTGTATTCTGTTGTTGGGCACATTGGATTAAGTATTTCTGTTAGCTCTAATTTCTTACTTTTACTGGAACCATAAGCATTAAATTGACTTAAATAATTGGAATAAAATCGACTACATCTGTGGAAAGGGATAATGGAAAAGCTCAATATCATCAGTCAGAACAGGCTGGGGGCCAACTGCAGAAGAGACCAACAATTGCTCATATGCAAAGTCATGTTGAAGCTGAAGAAAATTAGCACAGGTTCACGGGAGCCAAAGTACAATCTTGAGTATATCCCACCTGAATTTAGAGACCATTTCCAGAATAAATTTGATGCATTGAATGCTAATCACCAAAGACCGGACGAGCTGTGGAATGACATCAAAGGCATCATACAAGAAGAAAGCAAAAGGTCATTAAGAAGACAAGAAATGCACTTGCATTTCTCAAGCTGAAAGAACTGAAGAAAAAATTCAAGCCTTGAGTTGCAATATCGAAAGATTCTACGGGGAAAATATTTAATGACGCAGGAAGCATCGAAAGAAGGTGGAAGGAATACACAGAGTCGCTATACCAAAAAGAATTGGCCGACGTTCAACCATTTCAGGAGGTAGCATATGATCAGGAACCTATGGTACTGAAGGAAGAAGTCCAAGCTGCACTGAAGACATTGGGGAAAAACAAGGCTTCAGGAATGGTTGGAATACCAGTTGAGATATTTCAACGAATGGATGCATTGCTGAAAGCGCCCATTTGCCTATGCCAAGAAATTTGGAAGACAGCTACTTGGCCAACCAACTGGAAGAGATCCATATTTGTGCCAATTCCAAAGAAAGGTGATCCCACAGAATGCAGAAATTATCAAACAATATCATTAATATCACACACAAGTAAAGTTTTACTGGATAATTAAAAACGGTCACAGTAGTACATCTACAGGGAAATGCCAGAAGTTCAGTCTGGATTCAGAAGAGGATGTGGAACCAGGGATATCATTGCTGATGTCAGATGGATCTTGGCTGAAAACAGAGAATACCAGAAAGATGTTTACCTGTGTTTTATTGATTATGCAAAGGCATTCAACTGTGTGGATCATAACAAATTATGGGTAACATTGCAAAGAATGGGAATTTCAGAACACTTAATTGTGCTCATGAGGAATCTGTACTTAGACAAAGAGGCAGTCACTTGAACAGAACAAAGTGATATTGCATGGTTTAAAATCAGGAAAGTTGTGCATCAGGGTTGTATCCTTTCACCGTACTTATTCAATCCCTATGCTGAGCAAATAATCTGAGAAGGTGGACTATCAGAAGAAGAACATGGCATCAGGATTGGAGGAAGACTCATTAACACCTTCGATATATAGGTGACACAACCTTGCTTGCTGAAAGTGAAGAGGACTTGAAGCACTTACTGATAAAGATAAAAGATGACAGCCTTCAGTATGGATTACACCTCAACATAAAACAAAAATCCTCACAACTGGACCAATAAGCAACATCATAATAAATGGAGAAAGTATTGAAGTTATAAAGGATTTCATTTTACTTGGATCCACAATCAACACCCATGGAAGAAGCAGTCAAGAAATCAAATGACGTATTGTATTGGGCAAATCTGCTGCAAAAGACCTCTATAAAGTGTTCAGAAGCAAAGATATCACTTTGAGGACTAAGGTGCACCTGACCCAAGCCATGATATTTTCAATTGCCTCATATGCATGTGAAAGCTGAACAATGAATAAGGAAGATTGAAGAAGAATTGATGTCTTTGGATTATGGTGTTGGTGAAGAATATTGAATATTCCATGGACTGCCAAAAGAACAAACAAATATGTCTTTGAAGAAGTACAGACAGAAAGCTCATTAGAAGCAAGGATAGCGAGACTATGTCTCACATACTTTGGACTTGTTTTTTAGGAGGGACCAGTCCCTGGCATGCTTGGCAATGAAAAGGATCAGCAAAAAAGAGGAAGACCGTCAGTGAGATGGATTGACACAATGACTGCAATAATGGGCTCAAACATAGCAAGGATTGTAAGGATGGCACAAGAGACTGATCAGTGTTTCGTTCTGTTGTACATAGGGTCCCTATGAGTCAAAACAAATTTGAAGGCACCTAACAACAACAAAATAAGCATTAAAACATAACTTATCAAAGTTTAAAATTAATCAAATCTTTACGCTCTTCTTAGGTAAAACAAGAGACCTTAGCAAACATTTCAACTCCATTTTGCTCCATTGCTAACTTATATGTTAATGTTGTCTGGTTATTTTAAACTTTTATTTTTAATCCCAATAGATATCACTATCACTACTGTTTTGCACAAAAAATATTCATTTATATTTGTCCATACGTTTATCACATTCTTTGTTCTTCATTCCTTCTTGTATCTTAGTGTGCTATCATTTCTTTCTGTTTGGAATTCATCCTTTATTATTGCTTTAATTAAGGTCTGAAGGTGGAAAACTAAGTTTTTGTATATTTGGAAAATCCTTCAGTTCATCTTCGTTCTTATATTTTCATGAGTAATGATAGATTATTTTTTAATGGCTTTTTTTTCCCAGCACATTAAAGATATTAGTCTATTATCCTACGGTTTTTGTTGTTGCTTTTGAGAAGTTGAAGCTGTCAGTTTAGTTGCTTCTCCTTTTTCCTTTTTGTAGTCTTCATAGTCTTTATTTGTTTTAGTGAAGGTGACTGAGGATTACTAAGAAGTAAAACAGAAACTATGATTTGAGAAACAACTGTACTATGATTCATCAAATTGTTTAAGTTAACCAAAGCACAGTATGCAAAATATCTAAGTTTCAGGTTTTAACATAAGGTTCTTCAGAGCCGTATGTTAGGTTAAGACCAAAGAGAAACTGTTTTGACAGTAATGCCATGTGAATTCATGTGTTCCAGTAATGAGACCACTGACTGTCCCAGCAACTCCTCTAGTTTGCAAATTCTAACCAGTTCCACCCCAGACTCCTCTTGTTGTTAGTTGCTGTGGAGTCAACAATTTTTGACGAGTCTTGTATATTTTTTCTCTCCTTACGAATTCATACTTTTTTTATTCCTTTACTTTTAGTGGTATTTGGGAAAGATCAGAAATAAATGCCTGCGTTCAGTCTACCATGATTTACCAGAAGTCCAGTCTACCAGAAGCCAACCAAAACCAAAACCATAACAACATTCCACTCACGATCTCAGTGTACATCTAGGTTTGTGAGCTACTACCATACTGCTGTATCTATATTTTTCTTTTAGTATATCATTCTCTCTTTTATAATATTTGTGCATATGGCTTACCTCTTCTACCCATCTGTGAATTCCTAAAGGTGGGATTGTAATGTTTTTATTTTTCTCTTCCACAATGCCTGGAATAATGTTTATCAAATATTATGAATTCAGTAAATGTGAATAAAAGAAAATACATGTGTCTACAACAAAATATAGAGAGTGCTAATTGGATGCAGATACCTCTTTTTGATTAAGCCCATTACTCCTCACCCTAGAGATATAACATACTTACAACTAACAAGGTGGTAATGGCATGGCATTGACTATGTTGGTTAGAAAAGCCACAAATGTAGTGTTGATCTAGTGTGAGACCAAATGAGAAGAGAATGATTCCAGCTAATGCTCCCAAGGCGCTAAGAGAATTCATCATTCGGCTGACTATCATCTGAAAGAGAATAAGAACATAATGGAATCACTTAGGCCCAACTTGTGCAGTAGACAAAGCAATAGGCTGGGAGACTGGGGAGCATGACTTCAATCACAGCCTCACCAGTGTCATCAAACGGATGTGTGATCTGGTGTGAGTAACTTCACTTCTTTGGCTTCAGGATCCTTATCCACAGAATGAAGGTATCCAGTGAACTTTATTAACTTTTCCATCCCCCACATTCTGTGCCTACTGTAGTTAGTTGGTGAGGAGACGTGCACAAGGCACAAAAAAGGTGTATTTGGGGGTATAGGAATAGCTATGTTGCATTGCATTTTGATGCTTTGGCAAAAGCCATGGTCTGTTTACATTTTTGTTTAAGACTCTTGTGCTTAATTAAATACTGAAATTCCCTGCAATTTTAATTTCTTCCTAAAACTACAGATTTATGAGAGATACTCCTTGCTGAAATCAGTTATTGCCTTATTAACTGAAATCTCAACTCTTTGCTTCTTTAAGAAAAGTAAAAGTACTCTACTTATAATATATCTATAAATTAAAATTTCGTACTTATGCATTCTTTATATCTCAGTTCTGTTAATGGTTTAATTAGGATGTCTACACAGTGTGCCTTTCATATGAGTCAAGCTAGTGCCTGTCAAATTTTCTGGCAAGCAGTTGTTATCAGTTGCTGTCAAGTTGATCTTGACTCATGGCAACTCCATTATGAGTGCAGAGTAGAACTTCTCTCTAGGGTTTTAAAGCTCTGACCTTTCTGAAGCAGATTGTCAGGGTTGTCTTCTGAGGAGCCTCTGGGTGGGTTCAAAATGCCAACCTTTTGGCTCGTAGTCTAATGCTTAACTGTTTGGTCCATCCAGGGATGGTTGGTATGCAGTAGGCATTGAAAATACTTATAAAAAGAATGAATGGGTGAGTAACTGGAATGCTTGAGACCCATTCTACCATTAATTGGTTGGGAACTTTGGACAAGCCATTTAACTATTTTATGCCTCAGTGCCTTAATTTATAAAATAAGAATTAAACTGGAAGGCCTAGGAAACTCTCTTCTGTTCTCTTTCATAGAGAGACAAACTAATGTTCTATGATTATATGAAATAAAGGAGGCAAATGCAATTGACTGGTCCCAATGCTAACTTGGCAGTTTGTAGAATTATGGTGGCCTGATGATTTTCCAAATTCCTCTTCAAGGCTAGAATGAAGTATTGCAAAGTTAAAAGTTTTTAAGAAGACGAAAATGTATCTCACCAGAGTGTCTGTGTTTTTCTTTTTCACTGCAATTAGGAAGGCTCCAGAATTAATGAACTGTTAAAAAGAATCAATATCTTAATGGATGTCATGTTTAGCTGATATTAAGGAGTTCTTACAGATTATGTCTCTCCCCGCTTTGTTTGCAAATTCTCTTTACTGGTTCACACAATCCTCAAATGCAGTAAGAAGGGTAAGATGCCTTGTAAGACTGTCCACAAATGAACAGTAGACAAAATACTGGGTCAGAAATTTGGAACATGAATTTTTTTTTTAAATTTATTTTATGAGTTTTTTTTTTTAATCTTACAGCTTGAGTTTTCTTATCTCTTTTTGTACCTATTGTGACTTCAGTTTTGATAGCATGACACACTGGTGTCAAATCAGTTTATAAACAATTAGATCAGATTCCATTATTCCTATAGGAAATATCCCTTCTACCCATTAGCAATCAAATGCATTATCTTGAATGGGAAAATACGGTGGATTTGCAGCTAACATGCTGGGAATTCTGCAAAATCCCAGCATTTTCATGGAGGTGAGTCATATGTGGTAGCATAACTATCTAATGGAAACTTCAGATCTGATTACAGCACATCCATGTGAAAAATACTACTAGCCCCTTAGCCTGGAATATGAGGGCCCATTTCTCCAGCCTCATCCCTCCACTCCCTGTGCTGAACTCTTCCATACATTTAGCCTTTTGCTCCTGCTTCTCCCTTGGCATGCAATAAGATATTCCTGTCCCTCACACTCAGCCCTTCCCCATCCCATTCCTCTGTAGGTGTCCTCTCCTGATTAACCACTCATCCTTCAAAACTTGGTGGAGCTGAGAATGTCTCTGGGAAAACTCCCCTCCATTTCGGTAGGTGCCTTACTATAAAGGTGGGCTGTGTGTCCTCCATAACTACTCATCACTCCCTGTGGGAATTATTCAACTCTCCACTCAACTGCTCATTCTTTGGCACTAAATTAGGTGCTAAATTAACGTTTATGGAATGTTATTAAATATAATTAAATAAATGCCTTTGTGCAGCTTAAAGGCACATCTGAGAAACCTTCTCCCTTCTCTGCGTCTCCAAAGGATAAATTGCTTCTTCCTCTTTGCTTAAGTAAACACGTTCTGCCCTTCTGTGATACCATGTATCACACTGCCTTGAAATTATCTGTTTACCTGCTTTTCTCACTTGCTAGAGTAAGAGCTTGTTGCCAGAAGGGCCTGTGCTTTATTAACCTTCGATTGTCATTGCCTTGCTCTGTGCATCTTGCTCATAACTGATAGTGACTCATTTTGAATTAATGAATGAATGGGCAAATAAACAGCTTTAAGATCCAAAAAAAGTACACACTAGATGATGGCATATCAGTAACTGATGAATCATGAGGGAATAACTTCAATGAAGGTAGATTTCTTTCTTTTATTGGTTTTTTTTTCTTTGTACTTTTCAAAGTATATAACGAGTACCCTGATCTGTCAAATGAATCTAGCTCATTTCATAACTAAGAACTCCTTAACATCCCCATGGCTGTTCCCTAACATCCCCAGCCCCAAGCCCCAACTTGCCATGGCTTCAAGTTGGACTCAATTGACTATACTTACCAAAATGGAGCCCCAGAATGGATATCCTGTAATAAATATAAAGGGAAACCGCGGGTATGGGTCTACAAAGGTGAAAAGGATGATCATTCCAGAAGAAAAGTGCATCATTCCAAACACGATCTGGATAGCCTACAAATAGTGAAAAAGTCATGGTGAGGAAAAAGCAAAGTTCTGGGTTCACTTTAGAAAATCTCCTTCTGGTTGAAAGGATTTGGCAAACTCCCTGTTTTGTAAACAAGGGAAGGATAGTAGAAGCCCCTTTACCGTGGTCCTAGGTATTTTGTTAGTCCTTCCGTCTGGTATTGGTGATAGAGAAAATGATCTAAATCAGTGTTCCTAAAAATATATTCATGGACTAGCAACATCCGCATCACCTGGAGATTAGTTAAAAAATGCAAACTATGAGGCCCTATCCCATAATTGGAAGTTCCTGGGTGGTGCTAATGTTTAAGTGTTTGACTACTAACCAAAAGATTGGTGGTTCAAATCTACCCAGAGACACCTAGGAAGAAAGACTTGGTGATCTACTTTCAAAAAAATCACAGCTGTTAAAAATCTTATGGAGTGGAGTTCTACTCAGACACACATGGGGTTGCCATGAGTTGGACTCAACTCAAAGGCAACAGGTTTATCCTATACTTATTGAATAGAATTTCTAGGTGGGGCTGAGAAATTTGTGTCTTAAAAAGCTCTCTAAGTGGTTAATATCAACACTAAAGTTTGAGAAGCACTGAATTCTAAGTCACCATAACAGCCTGGCCTCAAACTGAGAAGGACCATGAGAAAACCCTCCTGAAGATGACCAATACTCTGAACCTGTGGAGGTATTGCCACTCTCCTGGGATCAGAGCACTCTCCATTTAAAACAAAATATTGTGTCTTAGGTGAAAGTTTACTCAGCAAATTAGATTCCTATTCAACAATTCATATACAAATTGTTCCGTGACATTGGTTACAATCCCCGCAATGTGTTGGCACTCTTATCATTCCCACCCCACCTGCCCCATTTCCATCCATCCAGTTTCTCTGTCCCTCCTTGCCTTCTCATCTTTGCTTTTGGGTAAATGTTGACTGTTTGGTCTCGTGTAGTTGATTGTTTAAAGGAGCACATTCCTCACGGGTGTCCCCATCTTTTCTATTTATTTATTTTTCTTCCCTGGGCCACTGTAATGCAACACCAAGTAGTAGTGCGACAAATGCCAGGGAAGACTTATGAGTATTATCTAAATTGACACATAAAATGTAACATAAGGTATACAGAATACATAAAGATGTTACATAAAAATGGAAGGTATGTCCTTTGGTAAAAATGTCCAAAGAATGTTTTTTAATTTCAGTTCACCTTGGTCTGAGTAATATAATTTACTTCCATAGCAACTATCATCTTTAACTAGGTGAATCTTAAATTATATCATTTTTCTCAATTCCAGACACTCATATCTAGCTCTTGTCAAACATCCACAACTTATATGTCCCACTAATACCTTATATTCAACATGTCCAAAAACAAGCTTTCTTTACTCTTTTTAAAACTCATCTTCTTTCTGCCTTCTCTGTCTCTATTTTTGGCACCATAATTTTCTTAGGATTGAAGTCTTAATGTCATCTTCAGTTAATATTCCTCAATCTCCAACAGTCAAAAAGTACCAAAACCCAAAAAACCGAATCTGTTGCCATTGAGTCGATTCTGACTCGTAGCGACCCCATAGGACAGAGTAGAACTGCCCCATAGGGTTTCCAAGGAGTGGCTGTTGGATTTGAACTGACGATCTTTTGGTTAGCAGCCATTAGTGCTTACCTACTATGCCACCAGGGCAAAAAGTACCAACCCGTTAAAACCAAACCCATTGCTGTCGAGTCCAAGGAATGGCTGGTGGATTTGAACTGCTGACCTTTCGGCTATTTTTACTTACAAAACAGAAGTATTTGACTTTTTTCTTTTTGTTTTCACTGTTGTGTCCAACGTAAGGGCACTTATTTTGTACACCCTAAATCTCTCCCATATGTAGAGATGTATGTTGAGGTATTCCTGGCCTTTTTCCATCTACAATTGATGAGTTTCAAAGAAGGAAGTGGGAAATCAGAGCCCAGCATCCTTCTCTTTCCTTCTTGGAAGTGAGCTCCAACAGGTAGCGTACATTCTCTTCTGCTCCTTAATTCCCTAAATATTATAGAAACAAATATTGCTCTTGCAAGGAAGAAGCCTGATGTTTTGACAGTAAGTTCACCTTAATAAAAACCAGTTGCTGTCGAGTTGATTCCAACTCATGGCAACCCCATGAATTTCAGAGTAGCACTATGCTCCATAGGGTTTTCAATGGCTGTGATCAGAAGTAGATCAGCAGGTCTTTCTTCTGAGGTATCTCTGGGTGGATTTGAACTGCCAACCTTTTGGTTAATGGCTGAGTGTTTACCTGTTTGCAACAAACTCAGGGACTCCATTTCAATTATTAATATTGTTTTCTAACTGACCTTTCTGCCCCAACCTCCTTTTTTTCTATTTCAATGTTGTGTCCATGCTGAAGTAAGATTCTAAAATGCAAGTCCCATCCAATTGCTCTTCTCAACAGTGTTTTAAAAATGTCTCCCAAATCCGGTGATCTTCAGATTAATTCAGAGAATACAGATTTATAAGCCCCTACCCCCCTCAAAATTGCAGTTCAGTAATTCTGGGATGAGGTCTAGAGACTCTGCATGTATTTTATAAAGCTCCTTAGGTCATTCTGGGAGTCCCTGAGTGGTGCAAATGGTTCGTGTGCTCAGCCACTAACCCAAAGGTTGACAGTTACAGTTTACCCAGAGGCACCTTAGAAGAAAAGCCTGGCATCTACTTCCAAAAACTCAGCCATCAAAAACCCTAAGGTCTATTTACAATAACCAAAGGGTGAAAACAACCTAGGTGTCCATCAATGGATGAATGGATATACAAAATTAAGTTACATACATACAATGGAATACTACTCAGCCAATAAGAGAAATGAAGTCTTGATACATGCTATGATGTGGATGGAACTTGAAGACATTATGCTGAGTGAAATAAGTCACTCATGAAACGACAAATATGTATGACTTATATAAAAAGATATTTCAACAAATGGATGCAGTGCTGGAAGTACTGACTTGTTTATGCCAAAAAATTTGGAAGAGAGCTACCTGGCCAACCGACTGGAAGAAATCCATATTTATGCCTATTCCAAAGAAAAGTGATCCAACTGAACACGGAAATTATTGAATAATATCATTAGTATCACAGGCAAGTAAAATTTTGCTGTACATCATTCGAAAGTGGATGCAGTAGTACATTGACAGGAAACTGCCAGAAGTTTAAGCTGGATTCAGAAGAGCATGTGGAACCTCGGATATCATTGCTGATGTCAGATGGATCCTGACTGAAAGCAGAGAATACCAGAAAGATGTTTACCTGTGTTTTGTTGACTATACAAAGGCATTTGCCTGTGAGAATCATAACAAATCATGGATAATATTTCGAAGAATGGAAATTCCAGAACACTAAATTGTGCTAATGAGGAACCTGTACATAGATCAAGAGGCAGTCTTTCAAATAGAACAAGTGGATACTGCATGGTTTAAAGTCAGGAAAGGTGTGCATCAGGGTTTATCCTTTCACCATACTTATTCAGTCTGTATGCTGAGCAATTAATCTGAGAATCTGGACTATATGAAGAAGAACGGCACATCAGGATTGGAGGAAAATTCATTAACAACCTGTGTTATGCAGGTGACATAACCTTGCTTGCTGAAAGTGAAGAGGAGTTGAAGTTACTTACTGATGAAGATCAAAGACTACAGCCTTCAGCATAGATTACACCTCAACAGAAAGAAAACAAAAATCCTCACAACTGGACCAATTAGCAACATCATGATAAACGGAGAAAAGATTGAAGTTGTCAAAGATTTTCATTTTATTTGGATCCACAATCAACACTCATGGATGCAGCAGTCAAGAAATCAAAAGACTCATTGCATTGGGCAAATCTGCTGCAAAAGACCTCTTTAAAGTGTTAAAAAGCAAAGATGTCACCTTGAGGACTAAGGTGCACCTGACCCAAGGCATGGTGTTTTCAATTACCTCATATGCATGTGAAAGCTAGGCAATGAATAAGGAAGACCAAAGAAAAATTGATGCCTTTGAAATTATGGTGCTGGCAAAGAATATTGAGCATACCATGGACTGCCAAAAGAACGAAAATATCTGTCTTTGAAGAAGTACAGCTGGAGTGCTCCTTAGAAGCAAGAATGGCAAGACTTCGTCTCACATAGTTTGGACATTTAATCAGGAGGGATCAGTCCCTGGAGGAGGACATCATGCTTGGTAGAGGGTCAGTGAAAAAGAGGAAGGCCCTCATCGAGATGGATTGACACAGTGGCTGCAACAATGGGCTCAAATATAGCAATGACTGTGAGGATAGCGCAGGACCAGGCAGTGTTTCATTCTGTTGTACACGGTTTCTATGAGTTGGACTGACTCGATGGCACCTAACAACGACAATATATAAAAAGACAAGAATAGGCAAATATATAGACACCAAAGTTTATTAGGGTTACCATAGGTGGGAGGGAGGGGGGAAAGGAGGAGCTATTGCTTATGAAGTACTGAGATTTGGTTTACAGTGATGGAAAATTGCATTGATTAACAGTAGGGTTGTGCGGCCAGTCAATGTCATTGCTGTCAATAAATTGTATACTTATAAAAAGTTGAATTGGCACACATTGTGTGATAGATATGTTTACAACAAGGACAAAAAGAAAAAGAAAAGAAAGGAAAGGGAAAAGTAGCTGCTGAGGCTGCTAGGTACAACCAAATACCTCATGGGATTTGGTTCTTTGGTTTGGAGTTTTAGGGTCATGGTTTCATGAGACATCCCGGTTAACTGGCCTAACAACATACTTAGTGCTTCTGTTCTACCTCCTAGTATGTTGTGTAGTGCCTGGGGTCTTAAAAGCTTGCAAGCAGCCATTCAAGGCACAACAATTGGTCTCTATTCACCTGGAGCAACAGAGGAAGAAGGGGAGTCAGGAATAGGAAGAGGAAATGGAATGTGTGGCTAATTGCTTCCATGAATAACTGAATCTTTTGCCATGAGACCAGAAGAATTGGGTGGTGCCCAGCTACCATTACTGAACATTTTGATCAAAGATTCTATAGGAGAATCCTGACGAAAAGGAGGAAAATGCAGAACAGAATTTCAAATTCTCATGGAATCCATACTTTGTAGAGCCATGGGGACTGGATGAAACCCAGAAACTATTGCCCTGAGATAATCTTTAAACCTTAAACAAGAAATATCCCTTGAAGTGTTCCCCAAACCAAAAAATAGTTTACTTTAACTAGTAAAGAATGTCTGTCTTGAGCACTGTGCTCTTTTAAAATCTATCTATATGGGATCAAATTGACAACAGCAATTCAAAAGATTAGAAAGGAAACTTAGGAGGCAGTGATATTAATGTTAATGGGGGATAAACAACTCAGAAAAGGAGGATGAGAATGGTTGTACAACTCCTAACCAAAGTGACTGAATTGTACATGTAAAAACTACTGAATTGGTGTATGTTCTGCTGTGTATATTCTCAACAACAGCAACTAAGTTTAAAAAACAAAACAAAACAACCCTATGGAGTGCAGTTCTACTCTGACATTCATGGGTTTGCCATAAGTTGGAGTCAACTTGCCCGCAACTGATTTGTTTTTTTTTTTGTCTTTAGGGCATTTCATATGTTAGATTTTACATATTAGAAACCACTTGGTGGCACAGTGGTTAAGAATTCAGCTGTTAACTGAAAGGTCAGCAGATGGAATCCACTAGCCACTCCTTGGAAACCATACGGGGCAGTTCTACTCTGTCCTATAGGGTCACTATGAGTCTGAATCGACTAGACAGCAACGGGCTTGGTTTTCGTCTATATTATAAAAATTAGTAAGGATAGAATATAATATCCTTGGAAATTCCCCAACTTATCTTTCTGGTTGTTTCTTATTCCTCTGCAAAAATTTTTAATCCTCTTACATCTTCTAAGATGAATTTATTTTCTCCCAGCTCTCCTGTGCCATTCCCAGACTATGCTACCATATACTTTTGTTCATGGTGCTTTCTCCTTCTAGCATATGCTGCCTCCCTCCTCTCTCTTCATTTCCACTTGTTGAAATTCTATCCTTCTTCAGAGTCCAGTTTAAATGACAAGTTTGCCATGAAGTTGTCGCATTCCTTTTAGCTGGAAGTAACTGTTTCCTCTCTGGGTTCCCTCTACTTTTGCCCTGCCCCCCACCATTTATGGGTCTTATTAGATGCTATGTTGAAATATAATTCTTAATATTTTCATCTTATTATCACTTACAAATTATAGATTTATTCTCCTCAATGAGAGAGAATAGGTTGTATTTATTTTTGTAACCCCCACAGTGTCTAACATAACCCCTTGCACAGAGTTCAATAAATATTTGTTAAAATATTAACTCTTTAGCAGAAGTTTGGATTCCATTATATTTGACATGATGCTGAAGCAGTACAGACTAATGGCCTACTCCTGCGTGTTAGCAGACCGTCTTTCTCTATTTCTATACTTTTTTCCTGAGAAAAACACACACATACAAGCAAACATTAATTTCTATTTTCCATTCTTAGAGGGTGGGGTTTGGAATGACAAATGTTTTCTAATTATAGCCTCAAACATACCTGAACCTCCACATTGTCTGAAAGAAATACTGCTAAATAAAAAACAGTCAATTAATGTTTATGGAATACATAGATGAATGGAAAAATGAGTACTTATAGTATTAAGAGGATTTTCTGCGAAAAGCCTGTATATAAAATACCATGTCATGTTGCTCAACTGAGTTCTGACTTTTCATTGGGAAAATATGAAACTGTAGAATTCAGTAACCCAGGTGGGGAGATTGCCTATTGACTTCTACTTAATTATTATTATTTCCATTCCTTTCTTTTACATGAACTTGATTGGAAAAATCTCATAGATGGTCAGTTGGGAGATTTTTTACTTTGTGACCTTCAAGAACCCAAGGACCTTGGCTTATTCAACTCGTATTTTCCTCTTCACAGAACCTTGTACCTAGTGTAGAAATGTGATCCATATTTCCTGAATTGAGTGGAAATAAACATTGGAATTGGTTCCTAACTTATAACATGTGCTACCAGATATTTTTCCCTATCCCCTTTCCCCCTCAGCATACATTGAGACAAGTGTTACTTACCCCAAAGAGTTTCAGTTTCGAATCAAGTATTTTTGACAAGAGATTTCTAGGCACAAAGGGTGTGGCTGTTAGGCCCATTTGCTGCAATCTGGGAATAGTGATCTCTGGAGGAAATGCCAGAAACACTGGGCTGTGTGGGTTGCTTGTATCCATGATGGTGTAGTTGATATTTTGAAATAGAAGAAAATTATTTGGTTGGCATTTCAGTCTAGACCATGTTCTTTTTTTGTGCCAAGGCTTCCTGGACCACTGGCATTGTTGTGCTTTGTCTTGGAATTTTAGAACCATAGAGTCACAGAGTCATAGAACCTCAGGACTGGCCAAGATCCCAAGATGGCTAGTGGGTTAAAAGCCCAGTCTGTGAGCCAGAGGACCTGATCAGTAGTCCTGGTTCAATCAGAAGCTCACTGTGTTACCTTGGGCAAGTCACATCTCCCTCTTGGTTTTAGCTTCCTTATATGTACAATGACCAGGACTAGGTGATCTATTAAAGACATTTTATTTCCAAAATAACCATTTTATTTTTTTTTCACAATTCTATGGGTCATTGTCTTAGTTTCCCAGTGCTGCTTTAACAGAAATACCACAAGTGGGTGGCATTAAAGAATAGAAATTTATTTTCTCACGGTAATGGAGGTACGGCACAGGGCGCTGGCTATAGGGAAGGGCTAGCTCTCTGTAGGCCCTGGGGGAAAATCCTCTTTTCAGCTTCTGTAGACCTGGTATTCCTTTGTTCCTTGTTGATGTTCATGTGGCATCTATCTTCCCCATTTAGTGCTTGCTTTTGTGTCTAATCTGCTCTTTTTATAGCTCAAAACTGATTCAGTTTAAGACACACCCTACACTAATATGGCCTCATTAACATAACAAAGAAAACCCTACTCCCAAATGGGAATACATCTACAGGTATAGGGGTTAGGATTCCAACTCATATCCTGGGGGAGGGGACACAATTCAATCCATAGCAGTCATATGGATGGTTCTTCTGGCCTGGTCCAGCTCAACTGTTGTCTGCCAGGTTCTCTGGTGCATCAGTGGTCAACTGATGAGTGGCTAGGCTGAATGATTTAGGATGGCCTCAATCACATATCTGGTAGGTGGTAGATTCTTGGTTTTCCTTCAATTCACAAATGCTTTTCAAACGACTCATGAGTGCCAATGTCCCATTGGCCTAAGCAAGTTTCATGGCCAATCCAGACTCAAAGGATAGGGAAAGAAACTCTGCATATTCATGGGAGGAATTACAGTGTCAAGTTACAAGGACATGGATGAATGGAGGGGAATTTGTACCCATTTTTGCACTCTGCTTTGTCATCCTTGTCATTAGTAGATGTTTACTACGAGATCAGGTTTTCCTAAGTTGAGCATCCTGGTCTGACAGCATCCAATCACTTGCCAGTTAAAACATTTTAAGGGACCACCTTCCTCACAATTTCTTTCCTCTGAATTTACCTTCTCTCAGTCCATTTTCCATGCACATAGAGTCCTAATGGAGATCATCTTTTCGTGAAAATTCTCTGATGTTGAGTTGTTTTTGTTAAACCAAAACCAAACCAAACTCTTTGCCGTCAAGTCAATTTCTACTCCAAGTGACCCTATGGGACAGAGTAGAACTGCCCCATAGGGTTTCCAAGGAACAGCTGGTGGATTCAAACTGCCTACCTTTTGGATAGCAGCTGAGCTCATAACCACTGCACCACCAGGTTTGTTGTCATTGTCGTTAGATGCCATTGAGTCAGTTCCAACTCATAGCAACCCTATATGTACAACAGAACGAAATACTACCCGGTCCTATGCCATCCTCACAATCGTTATATTTGAGCCCATTGTTGCAGCCACTGTGTCAGTCCATCTCATTGAGGGTCTTCCTCTTTTTCACTGACCCTCTACTTTACCAAGCATGATGTCCCTCTCCAGGGACTGATCCCTCCTGATAACATATCCAAAGTATATGAGAAATAGTCTTGTCATCCTTGCCTCTAAGGACGATTCTGGTTGTACTTCTTCCAAGACAGATTTGTTCATTCTTCTGGCAGTCCATGGTACATTCAATATTCTTTGCCAACACCACAATTCAAAGGCATCAATTCTTCTTCGGTCTTCCTTATTCATCATCCAGCTTTTGTATGCGTATGAGGTGATTGAAAACATCATGACTTGGGTCAGGTGGCACCTTAGTCTTCAAGGTGACGTCTTTGCTTTTTAACACTTTAAAGAGGTCTTTTGAAGCAGATTTGCACAGTGCAATGCATCTTTTGATTTCTTGACTACTTCATGGGTTTTGACTGTGGATCAAAGTAAAATGAAAATCCTTTACAACTTCAATCTTTTCTCCGTTTATCGTGATGTTGCATAGTGGCCCAGTTGTGAGGATTTTTGTTTTGTTTATGTTGAGGTGTAATCCATACTGAAGGCTGTGGTCTTTCATCTTCATCAGTAAATGCGTTAAGTCCTCTTTGTTTTCAGTAAGCAAGGTTGTGCCATCTGCATAACACAGGTTGTTAATGAGTCTTCCTCCAATCCTGATGCCCTGTTCTTTTTCATATAGTCTAGTTTCTCGGCTTATTTGTTTAGCATGCAGATTGAATAAGTATGGTGAAAGGATACAACCCTGACACACACCTTTCCTGACTTGAAACCACGCAGTGTCCCCTTGTTCTGTTCTAAGGACTGCCTGTAGGTCTAAGTACAGATTCCTCATGAGCATGATTAAGTGTCCTGGAATTCCCACTGTTCACAATGTTACCCATAATTTGCTGTGATTCACACAGGCGAAGGCCTTTGCATAGTCAATAAAACACATGTAAACATCCTTCTGGTATTCTCTGCTTTCAGCTGTGATCCATCTGACGTCAGCAATGATATTCCTCATTCCAAGCCCTCTTCTGAATCCCGCTTGAATTTCTGGCAGTTCCCTATCAATGAACTGCTGCAACAGCTTTTGAATGATGTTCAGCAAAATTTTACTTGTGTGTGGTATTAATGATATTATTCGATAATTTCTGCATTTGGTTGGATCACATTTCTTTAGAATGGGTACAAATATGGATATCTTCCAGTCGGTTGGCCAGGTAACCGTCTTCCAAATTTCTTGCCATAGACGAATGAGCATTTCCAGTGCAGCATCCGTTAGTTGAAACATCTCAATTGGTATTCTGTCAATTCCTGTACCTGTAGCCTTGTTTTTTGCCAATGCCTTCATGGCAGTTTGGACTTCTTCCTTTAGTACCACTGTTTCTTTATCATTTGCTACCTTCTGAAATGGTTGAACGTCAACCAATTCTATTTGGTACAGTGACTCTGTGTATTCCTTACTTCTTCTTTCCATCCTTCTTGCATCGTTTAGTATTTTCCCTGTAGAATACTTCACTATTGCAACTTGAGGCTTGAATTTTTTATTCAGTTCTTTCAGCTTGAGAAATGCCAGGCATGCTCTTCCCTTTTGGTTTTCTAACTCCGGGTCTTTGCAGATTTCATTATAATACTTTACTTTGTCTTCTTGAATTGCCTTTTGAAATTTTCTGTTCAGCTCTTTTACTTCATCATTTCTTCCTTTTGCTTTAGCTACGCTACGTTCAAGAACAAGTTTCAGATTCTCTTCTGACATCCATTTTGGTTTTTTCTTTCTTTCCTGTCTTTTTAATGACATCTTGCTTTCTTCATGTATGATGTCCTTGATGTCATTCCACAACTTGTCTGGTCTTTCATTATTGGTGTTCAATGTGTCAAATCTATTCTTGAGACGGTCTCCAAATTCAGCTGGGATATACTCAAGGTCGTACTTTGGCTCTCCTGGACTTGTTCTAATTTTCTTCAACTTCAACTTGAACTGACATAGGAACAATTGATGATCTGTTCCGCAGTCAGTCCCTGGCCTTGTTCTGACCAATGATATATTGAGCTTTTCCATCGTCTCTTTCCGCAGACATAGTCACCTGCCTAGGGGTCCCCAAATCTAGTTTTATCTTGCTCTTTAAAGTATAAATAGCAATAACTTTATGTCTTATCCTGTGAATGACAATAAAACCCAGTATCCTTTCCAACGTCTGCATGTATTTCTTGGAGGGAGCAAGTGGATATGGGGACGGGTAGCAGCTAGGGCTTATATTTTGCCCAATGGCCTTGTGCTCTGATTTCCTGCTTCTGTTGAAATTCTTAGTTTTCACTATATATCTGGGTTTCTATGTATGAAGAATCTTTTCTTCATTGTTATCTTCCTGCTGGTTATCATCCTGATTCTTCACTCCCCTAAAGTAGCGCTAACACAAGGTTGCATATGTAACATACTTTAAAATATAGCAAACATTTCTACAGTACCTATAAAGACAAGCAGTGGAAATTCCCTTATTCTTATTCTTTGTCTTATTCATAGACATTATAGACATTAGATCCTCCCTTCATTACTGTCCGGGGCTTTTATTCTCAAAAAAACAAAGATACTTTGTCTCATGTCATCAGATGAGCTTTTCATCCACTTACTCCCTTCCCCAACCACCCACAAAATAAGGGATATAATCTGTATAATTCAGGATAAAGAGAGAGATACTGTCCTCTCTGCCATGATGTACGCTTGTAGTTTCACATTACTCTTTCAGAATTTTACAGATGTACTGTCATTGTCTTCTGTCTTGCAATGTTTTTGGTGAGAAATCAGCTTTTTTTTTTTCTCATTATTTTAATGTTTGTCTTTTTCTCTAGCTGCTTTTAGGATATTCTCTCTTTTTTTTCCTAAAAAAATTGAAGACCCTTTTTATTTAAATTAATTGTAAGATTTTTGAGACAAAACCATGAAGGCAATACTTTTGACACTTTCCAACAAACCAGTAAACAAAGTCAAGTTTTACCATGTTGAAATTAACCTATGGTTTGTTGTTGTTGTGTCCTGTCCAGTTGATTCTGACTCATACCAACCCCATGTGACAGAGTAGAACTGCTTCATAGGGTTTGAGTAAACTTTTCTTTCTTTCTTTTTTTATTATTCAGATGATTTGGAATTAGAAAAAAAAATTTTTTTTTGGTGCTTTAGATGATGGTTTACAGAGCAAAGTATTTTCTCATTGAATAATTAATACACATATTGTTTTGTGACATTGGTTGCCAACCCCAAGACCTGTCAACACTATCGGCCTTGGGTTCCCCATTACAGGCTCTCCTGTCCCTTCCTGTCTTCTCGTCCTTGCCCCTGAGCTGGTGTGCCTAATTAGTCTCGTTTTGTATTATGGGCCTGTCTAATCCTTGGCTGAAGGGTGAACCTCCAGGAATGACTTCAGTACTGAGTTAAAAGCCTGT